GCGCGTCGCCCAGGCGCGGGGGCGGGGGCGCCGGGCCCGACGCGTCCGACGGCGTGGGCGGCTCGCCCTTGCTGCACGCGATGGAGCAGTAGATGGCGCCGCGGCGCGGCAGGAACGGCCGGCCCAGCAGCGAGGCGCGGCACGTGTGGCAGCAGAAGCACTGCTCGGTGGCGTGCCAGTGCTGGCCCTCGTGGCTCATCTGGCCTGCAAGCACAACCGCTCAACATTGCAAAAGGCTGCAAAGTAAACTACTGGTGCTACAACAGCACGTCTTTTCTCGCCTGTATTTTCACGCAATGTTACACGAAAAGTACGATAATTTTCGAAAAATTAAATTAAATTTAATGTACGTTCATGATAATTGTAATTTACATTAAGGTAATGCGGAAATTTGAGACAGTCGCTCCATAACGTATATTCACAATCACCAGTCCATCAAGATCGTTCATTCATTCCTTCTGGATAGGAGCATGGGGCTTTGAATAGTGGATATTAGTGTGAATGTACCTTGGTCGACGCCGATGGGCTCGCCGCACGAGTCGCAGTACTCGGCGAACATGGCGTCGAAGCAGTGCAGGCAGAAGGGGCGGCCGTCGCGCATGATGTAGCGCTGGCCGCCCAGCTGGCGGTCGCACTCGGAGCACGCGAAGTGCTTCATGTGCCACGCGCGGCCCTCGGCCTCCGTGCACTCGTCCGCCAGGATGATCTGCAACACGCACGCACTCGTCGTGGCCTGGCTCCCAAGCGGCCCTTGCCAGCTGGCGGTTCACAAGTTTAACACGAACTAAACGCAACGATTTGTTTAGCCTGTTAAGCTCGCAGTGGAAACAATATTATTTGATCACTAAAGTATATAACTTGAACAACGTTTTCTACCTTAATAGTTATTTATGTATTTAGGGTGTTAAGTAGATGTTTTTGTCCAGAGGACAATTTCCAAACCCAAGGTCGATGTGTCGAAACATCGATGTGTCGAAGCATCGATGTGTCGAAGCATCGATGAGTCGAAGCATCGAAGTATCAAAGCATCGATGAATCGAAGCATCGAAGTGTCAAAGCATCGATGAGTCGAAGCATCGAAGTGTCAAAGCATCGATGTGTCGGAGCATCGATGTGTCGAAGCATCGATGTGTCGGAGCATCGATGTGTCGAAGCATCGATGTGTCGAAGCATCGATGTGTCGACGCATCGATGTGTCGACGCATCGATGTGTCGACGCATCGATGTGTCGTTTGGACGTGTCGGCATCGCTGGGCGTGACTCACCTCGTCGCAGGCGGAGCAGCGCGGCTTGAGCGTCTCGGCGTGGTGGCGGCCGCAGTAGACCTTGCCCTCGCGGTAGAAGTAGATGAGGTCGACCAGCAGCTCCTTGCACACGCAGCACGCAAAGCAGGCGGGGTGCCAGCACGCGGCGGGGCCCGCGCGCGACGCGAACACGCCGATGTCGCCGCTCGCCAGCACCTCCGAGCACTGCAACACGCCACCAAGCACGCGCGCCGTCAGAACGCCGATCGCGATTCATTTCTTTCCATATGAAAAGGACAAGTCATCCCGACACACTTCATTGAATGCCGATAAATCGTGTGGAGTTTGATTATGTTGTACCATTCTCTTCGAATAAGCTTTAAGAAAGTCGTCTTGAAGATTTACATGTGTCATTATGATAATTATAAGCGCCATCCAGCAATCCGGTTTGAGCACATAACCCAAACATTCATCGTTTAGACATTACATAATATTTAAATTTACTGTTGTTGAATGTTTCGAAGAGTATTTGCATTTCCAGATTAACACAATAAATATTTCAATTACTGCTCATATTAAACATTTTTATAAATAAATAAATATTGTAAATATAACCGTGATGTTTGAAGTTGAATTGAAGTGTAGACTTCTAAACATATGAGAAGGGATGCAACAGATTTGTGTACAAAAGTAATATTTGAATAAAGAAAACATTCTACAATTTTCTGAAAATTTTCAGATCCTGTTCGCACAAATGAAGAGACGCACATTACTCCCGACACGATTTCTTCCCAGAAGAAGCTTCTTTGCAGCGCTCTCATATTTTGCGAGTGTTTTTTGTGTACACAGAAAGTGCTACTAATTGCCCGTAGCGAAGAGGCAGATGAAATTGTATGAATATTTAATGAGCTAATAGTCGTGAACGGTAAACGGCACTCCGTCGCATCATTTAACATAGGTTCTCTTCGGGGAACGTTGGGGAAGAAGAAAACAGCGGAGCAAACAGACGGTCGGACCGAAGCATTCCCAGGCGGCCTTGCTCTCCTCTGCATTAAAGCAAAGAACGTCTAATTCTAATTGCACCCCTTCCATTAAGACGCGTATTCCCCTCGCAGCTCCCTCAGGAGGAGCTGGCGGAGCCCGTATCCGCCCTTCCCCGCGCCGCCCCGCCCCGCGTGCCACGCCGCACCCC